CTCCTAACTGGTTAGTTGTTCCAGTTGTGTGTGATTCTGGAGCTGTCACAGGATCTACAGTTTAGGAAAAATGCCTTGAAAATGATTATGACTACTTAAATTTCCCCTCACTTCATGGCTTCATTCCTTTTGGAGCCTATCTCTGGAAGGATACTCTGCATACTGCTTATCTAGGCTGGCAGTGATTAGTCTGTGCAGCACTGAAGGAGCATATACAGGAAGAAAATGGCTTTAGAGAGAGGAAGCTTTTCTTGTCCAGTTTACATTCAATTAAGCTTGAACTTCTTCCCACTTCTCTGCTTGAATCTCATCATTTTTCTGGCTCTACACTTTAATTTTTTTCTTAGCGAGTGCAAGAGAGGCATTGGCTTTCTTGGCTGACATGAATGCCACACCTAGGAGAAGAATCTCTACTATAACAACTTCTATGACGAAACAAAGAGCTTCAGATAAACCAAAGAGATATATCTTAATGCCTGCAAAGACGTCACCTACTCCTCTGTCTCAGAAAAAGAGAAACTGAGATGTGGACTGTGATCTTGCCTTCCCCTGAGGTGGGGAAACACCAGGCAGGGACTCCGAGGCATGAGAAAATCACAGCCTGGCCTGGAGCCATCACAAAATCATTTAGGTTGGAAAAGTCCTTTACAGGCAGGGTTTCAGTAGATGCTAAAGCTGCTGGGAAGCCTCTTCCCACTCTGTGCACTGTAGACAACACGAAGCTTCTCCCAGCCCCAAAGGCCTTCATCCAGGTCAGGGCAGTTTTCTCGAAAAATGGATTTTCACTGGGACATTTGTTTCAGTTTGATTGGGTTTTTTTTTGAAGGAAATAAGCTGCTGTTGCCACTTTTTCCTTTCATATCACTAAATAGTTTATAAAGTGTGAAAACCAGCCTGCATCTCATTAAGTAATACAGGCTGTTGTAAGAGCTGGAATGCCACCAGAGACATGAAAGTTGGGCAATTACAGACTTATTTGAGGGATGACAGGTTTGAATATGCTTTCATAATCCAGGCAACAAACACATAGAACTATGTATCCCTGGTTTTTCTGGTCTCCCTTCTTATTTTTTGACCATTTCAGGATTTACTGCATTTATTTTAGAAATGAGGGACTCTGTAAACACCTTGAACAACCTACCAAGCAGATGGCTCCTACCACTCCAGCATGTGTGGGGAACATGCCACTGATGGCAGACACAGCACTGACAAAGGAGCTGGGTCCATATTCTGAATTCTGTTGACACAAGGGTTTTCTTTCTTATCTCTACAGAGACAAAATTGCCAACATATGTAATCAGTTCCCCACTGAATCAGCTGTATGTCTGTCTGTCTGCCTCCCAGGAAAGGCTGTTTTAAACTCCCATCACCAGGTCCCTGAAAAATTCTTTGGAGATCCTAATTTCTATCCATGGATAATGATAGTGATTTTATTTCCAAAAATTAATGCATTTAATATACCATACAGAAGATTATTCACAAGACCCAGACTTTTCAAGTCTCTGTGTGTATAAATTTGAATTGCCATCCCTCCTCTTTGGGACATAGGGCTGGCCCCCTGTGGTGTCACACAACCCCAGCACCACTGGACCTCTCTCACTGGTGACACAGCCACACGCTCTCATACTGCAAGAGCAAGACTAAACACCTATCAGGGTCAAGCATCACAGACCCATAGAAGGGTGTGGGTTGGAAAGGACCTTAAAGCTCATCTCCTTCCAGCCCACTCACCATGGGCAGGGACACGTCCCCTAAACCAGGGCCCTGTCCAACCTGGCCTTGAGCACTTCCCAGGGGTGTGATCGGTCACAGCGAGGGTATCACACAGTGCTGTGCCTCAAAACCTGCTTGGCCCAGCCCCAAGGTGTCCTTGGTCCCCAGCAGTGGCCCAGAGGCAGCTGAATCTCTTTCAATGGCCTGTGTTGCTGTCACCCTTGAAACCCTCGTGCTCCAGCCTGGAGTTGCTTTGCCTCTTTTGTGCTTTGTCTGTGAGCACTAATGGCATGATGCACTGATTCACCAGTTGTCCAGGGCTTGCCTCCACTGCTGCCAGACCAGGGCAGCCTTTGGCAGGGCAGGGCCACCCCAAAACCATCCCGAGGCTGTGCAGTGTGGGGCTGCCCATGGGGCAGGGAATGTGTGCTGGTCGGGCAGCAGAATGGACAAGGCACAGAGGGGTTTCTTGGCAGCTCCAGTGAGCCACACATGCCCTGCCAGGGATGAGGATGCCATCAAGTGGCCAAAGCTTTGTATTCACTTCCCACTTGATCTTCATGATTTTATATTTACGTTATATATATTTATATCATATGTATTTCTGTTATTTAGAATAACTTTCTGCCCTCTGCTCCCTTTCCACACCAAGTTGCCCATGGCTCTCCCTGACAGCTCCTTCTGGCAGGTGTGTGCTACATGAGAGTTTTGTCCAGGCAGATCCTGGGCTCTGATCTCAAAATTGGTTTAATTGGATGAATAATACCATGAATGATCACTGTGCAACTCCTGTGTGGGTGTCAGGGCTTTACACCCAGAGAGCACTGAACAGATCAAACCTGGGCACCATGAGGGCAGGATCATGCAGATACACAGCTTGTTGTGAACTCATCAGTTTAAGCCATTCATGATCCATTTTACATTATGCAGGCAGATGAACACACAATTTATTTGCATTAAAACATAGTCTGCCCAAGTATTATCCCTGGGGACACATGATATTATCCATCCAAAAAACATGTTTTACATGCATGCAGTTAAATAGGCAACATGAAAAGGATGAATCTTTAAATGCAGCCAGCAACAAATACTTGTGTGAAGGATCATCAATTTTTTCCATATTGTTTATTAAAAACTGTTCCAGGTATCCTAAAGAAGATCAAAGGCACTGTGAGCCTTTTGAGATGAAGCAACACCAGCTGTTTCTTCCCCATTTTAAGGCCAGTTCTGGAAGCACCCACAGTTTTGTTTTTAATCTCCAGTGATGAGGAGCCCAAAGAAGGTGACCCCATGTCCAAGTTCTGCTCCAGACCCAAAGTTTTAGGCACTTTCTGCTGTGATCTTCACGTGTTGTGACCAATTCCCCCATTCATCCAGGGAAGAGGATGAAGGAGTTTCTCTTTCTTTTTCCTCATTTTATGGAGGAAAGCTGGACAGCTGCTCCACATTGTCTTCAGAAACCTTGTTTGGAAGGCATCTGCTGAAACTGCAATCACTGGGCTTTTCCCCCTGGGCTCTTCTCCAGAGGAAGAGCTGTTTCTCTAGAACATTTCCAGATGAAGTGTTGTCCTAGATTATTCCCCCATGTCATGCGTCCCTCTGCATGTGAGCCCCCTTGGCCTGTCCTGCCAGTGCCACCAGAGTCCTCCTGTCACAGCAAAGCTGGTTCTTCTTGGGCTTTGGCATCAAAAGCTCCATGCTTAGAAAATAAATCATATTTAACAGCATAAAGAGAAAAAATCATGATGTAAATGATCTTGGAATAACTGAGATGCTGAGGTAGACCAAAGAGAGACTGGGCCTGCCCCAGTGGTCTCAGTGGGATTCCAGCAAAGAGCTGGAGGTCTGAAGTACACTGTGTCCTAAAGAGACTTTCTTTGGTGATGGTCTGCTCATGGCTGCAAAGTTTTGTCTGCAGGTTTTGGCAGCTGGCAAGTCATGTCAGGGAGCTCAGAGGGTCTAAAGAGATACCTCAAGACAGCCCCTGGAGGGCTGCACCAGGCAAGCTGTGTCAATTAATAGGCAGCCTTCTATATGAAATGCAAACTCTTTATTGTTTTATTGTTTTCTGTATTAAAAAAAAGCACCTTAGTCTCTGAATTTAACATCCTCCTGTTTCCCAATTTAATTTACACCTTGGAAAACAGACTGAAGTTGTTAAAGCCTTTACATTTTTCATGATAATGTGTTAAATTGTGCCAAACTGTGTTGTAGAGCACACGTGTTTGTATGGGAGGAGTCACCCTCTTCTTTGAACCTGAAAGCAAGCTAGGATTTGGTGGCAACAAGAAAAAGCACCTGTGTACCCACCATTTTCTCCTTTCCTTGTTCACCAAAGAAGATGAGTGTTATAACACCGTGTTGTACAAAAGATGCTCCCTTGGTGATTTGAGGTGGGCTGGGTTTGGGTACATCCCTTGGGAAAGGGAAGCTCTCTTCCTGGTTCAAGACAAAAGTACCATTGGTGAAGAAGCCCACCACCACCACCAGAATTTCTAGGGTGCTCTTAGTCAATAGAGAAAGATTTGATAATAAAATAGTCTTTGGGTTTGGTTGAGCTGGTGTGATTTTTGGCGTGCTCCATGGACCACGTGTCCACAGCAGGTGCTGTAGGTGCAGGATGGGAGTCTTCAGAGCAGCTGAGCCCTCACCAACACCACACTGCTGATCTGGCTCAGGAAGGCAGGAGACTTTCTGGTCTTCTTGGCAACACTTTTGAAATAAGAAAGAAGGAGATTTATGAAGTACTGCAGAAAACAGCAAAGATGGCCAAGAAAAATCTTGAGTATCTAGCTGCTAAAAAAGTTTCTTTAATCAGATATTTTTAATGCTGCTCCTTTATGCAACTCCAAGTTAATGAGGGAAAGAGTGAAACAGTGACTTGATAGTCAAGGCACTTTGAAAGAGCTTAATTTCATATCTTTGGGGCTGGAACAGAATACTGTGCAGGGACTATAGTAAAAATGATATTTCAAAATTTATAAAATATTAGAGAATAACCTCCTTTCAAATTTTTACTTCTGAATGATGTGAATTAAAATAATCACAACAATCAGAACAGATTACAGTGAAGCTCCAGGAGATGAGGACTGAAACTAAAATCCATTGGCACATTTGCAGTCTGCTCTGAATCCCACAGACCCAAATTGTGTTTGGCTATTCAGGTGTAGATACCCATGTAATTTGTGCAACTTTCAGAGGATCTATACAATTGCAACTCTATTTGATTCAAAGATTAATTCTGTAATTTTAATAAAGCTAGAGGGTCTTTATTGCTGACCTGGAAGTTAGGGATTGGTCTCACTTTGGCATCTTTTCATTGCTTTGAGAGAAAGCTCATAGCCAAGAAACATGGCTGCACTCGATGGGAATCCTCTTATTGTATTGACCAGGAGGCCCCTAAAAAAGACCTGTAGGGAATGAGCAAGGTTAGAGCATAGGTATATATGGACCATTTTAAGAAGAGAAAGAAAACATTGAATGAAGTCGTGGTGGGATTCTGAAGGACCAAATCTTTCGGGTTTGCTTGGAAGATGCGCTCCCACTGCTGGTCTTGGCTGAGGTCTGCACTGGGGAAGGGGAGCACAGTGGCAGAAGTCACTGGTTTGGCATCCTGGTGCTCCCCACTGCAAACACCACACCCTGTGAGAGTGTGCACAAAGCCTTTACTGTGGGGTGAGTCTGCTCACAACGTGGTGGTTCCAGGAGGGATCTCTGCTGGCCTGCTTCTCACACAATCACTCCATTAACCACCAAGGCCCATCACCACAAGTCACTAATCTATAAATACCACATGTTCAGAATAAATGTGAAAAAGAACTTCAGCAATCAAACTCCTTTCCAGGCTTTATAACAGCAAAATTCCCACACCTACTGTAAAAAACCATGAAAAATCTTGGCCCCAAGATCAGAAGACCTTTGATTTAAGCATATAACCAATTTTTGCCCTGAAATTACTGAACTCTACTAAACACCATCATATCTTGTGTCCAGAAAATCCTAAGCATAGTGCTGACTTGTTTGAGACAGAATCAAAATGTGTTCACATAGTTTAAATAAAGCTTGCAATTTGAAATTGCAGTATTGGGACATTTAGGATATTATTTGATTTCTTGAGATGTTTCATTTTGTTAGGAAAGAGATGTTTCTTGGAAGAAATTCAATGTTTTTGCATTATGCATAAAGTAACATAAGAGACCCAAGTTAAATAATAATGAAGGTTTAGGATGAAAAGCCCAGAGGCATAAATTTTTATTATCTGAGTGAACACACCTGGCTGTGGAGAAAGACAAGGGTGTAGTTGTGTTTCTTTGTGTACATCAGGCAGTATTGCCAGCACTGAGAATGCTGTTCCTTTGTCCCAGAATGAAAACATCCAGCCCTGGATTTGCCATTTGTCAGTTGTGAGTCTCCCAACTTTTAAAAAGATTTTCCTTATGAGAGCAGATTCCAGTCTTGCTATCAACTAATCACTCAATCCTACTGATGGCTTTGGGGCAGGTGCCAGATGGGACAGCAGAAAAACTACAAGAAGTACAGAGCTTTACCAGAAAACTCTTTCAGTTGTTAGTTCAGGCAGGACAAGGAGGGCAGAGGATGAGGATGGAGAGACAAAGGAAAACCCATGGAAATTCCCATTTCAGCCACCCTGCTGTGGAAGTGCACAAGGCAGGTACTGTAGAGCCTGGGCACCCTGTCCCCCATCTGACTGTCCAAGCACAGTCCTCAGCATCTCTCCAGGTGCTTGTGCTTCACACAAATGTGACTTTCTTCACTCAGTGGCAAAAGCTGAACCAGACCACAGGCTCCTGAGACAGCTGGCATAACGTAGTGGCATGTTGGCAAATATTGAAATCACACTGACTTGTGATTTTGCAGGATATTTTCCTGTTTGTAACTTGTTACATTTCTCTTAGAATGTGAAAATTACCACTTTGGGGCTAAGAGACTACATGCTGTTCCGATGATAAATACAGATTTATTTCAATATCAGACGTTACTTCCACAACCATGCCTTGGCAACACAATAAAGCTGCAAACCCGTATTCTCTGCCGTTCACATTTAATTGAGGCAAAGTTTGCAGGTAGAACAAATATCTTTTATTACACTAACAGACAAAATCAGAAAAGGGAGATAAGTTGTTTGGCACGCAGCCCTTCTTCATGTTTGAAACGAAAGCAATTCTGATATAAGAACGCTGACATTCAACAGTGCAAAAGCAGCATTAGTTCCACCAAAGCATTGCCCAAGGTGACCAGGCACATCCAGAATGCCAGGACAGTCCCACTGGAATCAGTTTATTGACACCAAAGTCAATGGGAAACATTGACCTCTGCATTTTGCAGAAGAATCGCAGAGGTAAGACTTTCTACTTCTGATTTATGATAACTCAAATTATGTCCATGATTAAGTGCACTAACATGAAATGTTGTTTGAAGTTAATTGCACCAGCAGTGTGTGACCCCCCAGTCATTCATTTCTTCATTATGTAACATGTATTATAACTCTCACTATTTTGATTTTGAAGGAATCTACATGATAATTACCTACTGCCATAATAATAATTTACCACTAACTGGCTTTAACTGTCTCTCAGCACTGCAGGTAGGTTCTTAACAGTCACTGTGTTTTCCAGTTGACAATTACATACCTAATAACCAGATTTAACTTCAAATGTCACTTACTTTTAAGCCCTCATTCTGGTAGCTCTGCAACATGCAGTCAATGGTCCCTTTGTACTGGTTTGAATAAACTCCATCTGCCTGAAGTCGACTTTTCACAACATCCATTGGAGTACATACTGCCCAGGAAACAGCTCCTGGAAAAATGCAGAAGTATTTGAATAATTCCTTCTCTATACTTCTATGCCTACAGGTCAGTGCTCTCAGAAATTGACGTCTATCACATCATATTAATGTGATTTTCATTCAGGGCATTCACCCTGCTCAGGCACAGAAACAGTATTTCTGAAAGTTCCCTGTTTCTGGAAGGTGTTCATATTTTGGAGGTTATGCTGCTGATCAGATGCAGGTGACTCAAGAGGGGCTTCTCCAGGTGCAAATACATCTCCTGCTGTGCTCCTGGTGGAACATGGACATGCCATGGGAAGAGCCTGAGCTGCTGCTTGGGGCAATTTCAGAAAAAACTGAGTCTTCTGATAATTCCATTGTAAAGAGTGTGAGCTGAGGTTACAAATAATGGGTTGGTGCATCTCAGGCTGCCAGGATTAGGCTCCACACAGTGAGATACCCTGTCATTCCTTTAAAGAAATACCTGTTTCCATTGATCAGCCTGCAGCTGAGTGGGATGGTTTGCCTCTGCAAAGATCAGTACATGACTGCAATCCATGGCCCAGCTGGACAGACAAGAGTTGGTCTGGACCTACGTGAGTGTTGGGGCACTCTAGAAAAACCATCCAGAGGCACCAGGGGCCTCTTTATTTGAGGAGAAGGCATTTTGTTATCATTACCTGAGCTAAGGGTTGACTTGCCTTTATGGATCTGCAATTTATAAATGGCCAAGAAGTGGGGAGTGGGAGTAGGGGTGACCTTTCACATGGTGGGGGCACACATGCCAGTTTTACTGGCAAGGGTACATGTGGAAAAAAGAAGAAGATCAGTAACAGTGAACTGGGCTTCTGCTAGGTGTGGGTAGGTGCACACCCTCCTGGTGGGCAGCCAACAGGTTGAAGTCCTCTTCTGGAGGCATCTTGGCTACCACATACCCCTGGCAATGGGCTTGGCAGGCTGCCCTGAGGCACCCAGGGAGATGAAGGCGCTGTCTGTTCTCCTCTTCGCTGACAATGAGCCCAAGGAAGGCCTGATAACATGACTTCCATAACGTTTGTCAAGTCATAAAGTGCAGCTGTGGTGCCAGGGAGCCCAGCCCTGGGGAAGGAAGGTTCAGTACCATGTCCTCTGCTCAGGAGGATGCAGTGGCCCTTGAGTCACCCTTGTAATCTGCCCTGAGAACCTTCCTGTTCTTGTTCTGCCAATGCTGTGAGGAAGTAAAGGTGCTTACCTGCTACACCCCCTGCCACCCAGATGGAGAAGGGATTAGGAGCAATGCTTCCATGAGGGGTTATCCAGTCACAGAACATCGCGTACGGGACGAAATAGGCGCAGTACCCGGGAACATCCCTCAGGAGCATTGCTACATTGCCTCGGTATATTCCTGGAATCCCCTCTTTCTGCAGGATTGTCCTTAAGCAGTGAATTGGGCCTCGGTACACAGGAGATCCAGGAGCTGAGGAATTTAGTTTAGCATTTGCTACAAAAAAAAGAAGAAAAAGATACAACTGTTGTAATAGACATATTGCCACAGAACTGCTCTCCAAAGCCCACTGCCATTCATTAGAAGTCACTGCCATCCAGTTTCTTCTGCTGGGGTCAGCAGATAACATGGGGAAAATGTTTTAGGAGAGAGTATTTAGGTCCATTTTCAGAAAACACGTAGACGCTTCAGACAGATTTTCTTAGATGCATGGCATACCTCCCAATAGGTACGTGCCCAGTGAGACTTCCAAATAAATTTAAGGCAATGTGCCCAATTTTCATGGATTTTAACTTCAATTTATGCCAGGTCACATATCTAGAAGCCTTAACATCTTCAGAGTCTGGCCCTTCCCATGCAGACAAAGTTGTTTTTGTAAAAGGCATTAGGTTTCTAAGCTGCATGGAGGCTTTAAAAATGGACATAACATTGTTTTATCAAAGCAAAAGAAAAATGCCAGCATTTCACAGTTAAATGCCATAACTGTAATTGTGAGAAAGGTGAAATGCTGAAATCCAAGCTGTTCAGCTCTGAAGCTGCTCCATGTCTTCATTTAGCTGTGCATGTGCTCTGGTGGGGTTTGCTCCATGCTGGCAGCCTGCAATGGAATTCAGCTGGTGTCTAAAGCTGAAGCAGCCCCTTCTGCCTGTGGACAGGGAACAGCCACCCACTGCCATCCTGCTAGTGTCCCCTCCTGACCCATCCTGCTCACACCTGGGCCACCTGGCACCCTGTGTGAAATAAGTCGGGTTTTAAATGTAAATGGGAAACTTCTGCTTTTGAGCAGAGAAGAGTGGAATAACAGAGGTTTATGGGCAAATATATGTGGGACTGAGTGTGCAGAGGGAGATGGGGAGCTGGCATTGCCACTGGCAGCCATGGTGCTGCTGCTGGGATCTCCAGGAGACCCCACAGCCCAGGGACTCACAATTTCTGCAGCTTCTGGTCTTGAGCAGACCTACCTCATGTTCCTTAGAGATCACAACTGTCTGGAAACACCATTGATAAAAACCCTTCCCTTGAGCTGAGCAGGATGGGGCCTATCCTCAGGCAAAAGGGAGAATTTTTAGCCCAACTGCAGCAGCACAAAGCAGCAGAAAGCCCAACCTTGCCCAAAATTGTAAAGCTCTGCGTACATACCAAAGACTGCCAGAGACAGGAAGACGAAACTCTTGCTTCCTACCTTTGGTGTAGGGCTGTGTTTGCATCTGTAGCCTGATCTTGACCAGTTCCACGGGGGTGCCAATGCCCACAGAGATGACCCCAGCCACGAGGCTGGCCAGGGTCATGTCGGCGAGCGAGGGCGCGGCGGCCGGGTCCCCGTGGCGGAGCTGGGTCAGAAACCGCTGCGTGTTGCTGAAGACCCCGAACACCACCGAGCTGTAGATGCCAATGCTGGCCAGTGGGAAGGACATGCCCTTGAAGAAGCCGGTCAGCTACCCAGGAAAGGGAGCAGGGCTTAGGAGACTGAGCAGGACTGAGCAGTGTAAACCCCAGCTTGTCTATCGGGTTAGAAATCACGGAGGCACGCAATGGTTTGGGTCGGAAAGGACTTGGGAAGTTGTCTCCTTCCAATCCCCTGCCAAAGTCAGGGATGAAATGCAAATCCAAGTAGCAGATGTCTCCTGGAACCAAGTGTTCGCACATGCTGAGCAAAGGAAATTGGTTCATGCTGCTAAAGGCCTATAGAGATCGTGCAGAATATGGGATATGGCTGAAAGCACAGGAACCCCTGTAGAAGTGCCTCATATAGACAGTGTTTGTTCTGGCTTCACCAAAGTCAGCAAAATCCTTCTGGGAGACCTCTGCCAGTGGGATCAGGCAAAAGAGTCACTGTTGGATGCAACCCATGTGGACACACTGATCATTCCATGCCAGGGATCTCCCTTTTCCCTATAGGAGTCACCAAGTGGTGACTTAACCTTAGAGTTAAGCAAGACAAGGCTGTAGGGATTTGCAGGCTCAATTGCATCAACTTTATTGGTCTTGATATAATTGCTGGTGTCAACAGCATTTTGTACAATTGCTTTATATATTTATCTATTTATTGACTTGCACTTTCTACCAGCACGTTTAATGTATGATGAAGTACTTACAGACTCATTTCTGTACACGGTCAGAACACACTTGAGTGTATTTCCATATCCTTGTCCAGCTTGCAAACGAGTCTGCAAAAGACATTTGTAAAATGTGATTAAAATCCTATGTTTCCAGCCCAATGGAGGGTCATGCTATGTAAACAATGTGTACTTTGCTTTGAGAGCAAGTCCTTCCTTAGTCGTAAAGAGAACTGAGCAATAAAATAAGATATATGTGCATCCACCCTCTTGAACTTGGCCAGAAGCAAGGCTAAGCAGGATCTCACAGCCTGAAGCTCTCTGCAACATCTGGAATCAATGACTGCCAAAAATTGCTCTCCAGCCTGGACCAGCAAGCCTGACCCAGCACAGCAGGCTGCTGGTGTGCAGTGCTGTCATTGGCAAGGGCCTGATTTATGTGGAAATTGCAGTGGTGTGGTCTTCTCCATTTGGAGACTCTCAGGAAAGGCTGGGATGTGTTGCAAAGAGAGGAGAGGTGAGCTCCCCTGGGAGACTTCTGGGGCCCTTCTGCTCCAAGGTGGATTTTAAGACACAGAGATTCTAATTGGAGCTAAAATAATTCAGCACCATCTCAGAAATTCTCCATGCTTCACTCAAAAACAGTTTTATATAATTTCCAAAAAGACATTTTATTTCTGGAAAGCAAATTGGTTATACACCTTCCAAGAGATGTAAGAAATGGCACATAGGTCACAACAAAACCTACAGGATTAGGCATTTCCCCTTCTCATATGTATATATTTAGATCATCTTTCATTCAAGCTGCTCACAAGGTTGCACTAGAAACATCCTAACAAGGGATGCCTTTTTTGAGCTTAGAGGTGTGCAAGGAAATGGAAACACTGCTCATTTCACAGCGCCTCAGGCTTCATCTTGGCTGACACCAGAGCTCATTTGTTAGAGAAAGACACACATGCTCCATCAGGAATATTTTTAGGAAATGGGGACATTTCTGACTGCATTTATCAGCACTGCTGCTAGCAATGAAGGCTGAAGGGACACTGTGCTGGGCGGATGGTGTCCAATCCCATCCACTGGCTCAGCCCTGATTTACACCAGGGTGAAGCAGGAAATTATTTGGGAATTTAAAGCCCAAAGTAATGTGTGTCTGCCAGAGTTCACGGCTAGTGGGAGCTTTTGGATGGCAAACAGCATGTTGGATGGCACAATCACTTGGCCCAGAGCCCTGCAAGAGGCTGCCAGTGCTGCGTGGGACCCTGGCAGAAGCAGGAGGGACCAAAGTCTGTGTTCACCCCCCAGCCCAGGCTCACCCCTCACCCTGGGGCGGCTCCATGCAGCTCTTTGCACACATGGAGCATCCCTGCTCCGCTCCAGGCCTGGCCAGAGGCCACAGGGAAGCAGCAGCAATATTTCCTGGGCACTCAGAACGAGCTGGCACATGAGGCTGCTGCCCAGGCTCAGCAGCGCACGCTGTGCAATGTGGGCAGGCTCAGGACACGGGTGCACACTGGGCACACTGTGACTCACACTGGGGGTAGCAGGGCTGGGGGGACATGGGGAAGGTGGTTACACCCAGAGTGACCCAGGACAAGGTGACCCAGTGCCCAGCCCTGGGTTCATCTTAACCCAGACATTTCCACTTCGCCTCCCTGGGCTTGTTTTTTGTTTTTTCTATTCTTTTACTCAGTAACCAGGTATTTAGAGGTTCAAGTTAATATTTTTTTTGAGTAACTGGGGGGAACTGAGTGTTCTCACAATCTGGTTCTCACACACGTCCCTTAGCTAATCTGTTAACACCCAGCACTGAAATCCCTGCTGGCATCTGTGACAAAGTCAGCTACTACCAGTATGGATATACCTCTGCAAAGTTCTCCTTTTTGTTGTGTTTTGATTAGATAGGGCTCTTGGGTGGCACCCAGAAGCTGAAGAAAGTTCTGGGAAAATGAATGCAGTGGGTAGGATGAAAAGAGAGCAAAGGCACAAGTTTTAGAGTTTTGCAAAGGAAAAGGACGTAGGAAAAAACAGCTGCTGGGGTTTGATGGAAACTGCAGTGATGGGAAGAGGTGGCTGAAGGGGGAAGAGATGATTTGATGGGAAGTGTGGTGTAGATGCCACTTACCCCACAGAGCCTGATACTCAGTCCTGCCTCCTCCCCCAAATGGGGAAAGACACCTGATCCCCTGGAGGCTGCAGATTCTGCTGAGAGCCCCTTTGTAAAAACTCTCTTTTCCCCTTTCCTGCTCCTGAATTTGGAACATAACAAGTCTGCCTACTTGGTATTCCCGAGGCAAAGCCTTGCCCAAAGCCAAGAGCAACAGAGGGGGCAGCCTGACAGTTGTCTGTATAACCACTGAAGGATGGGCTTGCTCTTTCTTGGCACCCAAACTCGATGTTTCCAAGCAGGATTCCCATGGCCAAACTCCCCCAAGCCAGGCAGTGATGCCATGGCCACCAGCCTGAGATGGCAATTGCCTTGGCAATGCTGGGCAGAGCCTGCCTGTGCCCTGCCCAAGGCTGGGTGGTGTGGGCAGCCCTGTGGCTCCTCCTGCCCGGGGTCTGCATCACCTTTGTACGGGGACGCCCTTGGGGCTGGTATCACTTTAGCAGCTCAGAATAAAGAATGGGGCTGGCTGGGCATCTCCTGATCCCAGGAGAGCCTGGTGTGTGCAAGGGGGTGGCTGTGATGGCTGGGGAAGTCACAGAATTGCTGGTAATTTTGAGTTAAAAGGGATCTTTTAAGGCCATCTCGTTCAAACTCCCAGCAGTGAGCAGGGACATCTCCAACTAGACCAGGTTGCTCAGAGCCTCATCCATCCTGCCCTTGAATGTTTCCAGGGATGGGCATGTTCCCACCTCTCTGCCAGCCTGTGCCTGTGTTTTACCACCTTTTTTTGTATACAAATTCCTTATACATCTAATCTAAACCTCTCTTTCTGTTTAAAACCAGTACCCCTTGTCCTATCGCAATGCTGCTAAAATTCTGGTTTTATTTCAGACCCCCTTCAAGTACAAGAAGGCCACAATAAAATTTCTTTGAAGCCTTCTATTCTTCAGGCTGAACAACCCCAACAAGAGAAGCTAAAGTGATGAAAGCTGCCCAGAAATGCCTGGGCAAAAAAAGAAAGGAGCAGGATCCTCCTCCCTGTCTCTGCAGCAGTAGGGATGGTCAGCTTGGTTGAGTCAGGATGCACTGGTATGTGCATGGGCTTGTCTGCATCATGCTGACAAATACCTTCTTACTTCTCTAAATCCTTCCATTGGAGGAATAATTATCATGAGGGAATCATAAACACTGTGTGTCACAGCCCTGGGATAACGATTTCAGAACTCTGCCCTTCCAGCATTACCAGCACAAGGAAAACATAAAAATGTGCCTGCAGCAAAACAAATACAGTGCCCTCATTGCCCTTTGAATACTAGTCTGTGGCAAAGTTCAATAAAACATTGCCAGAACTGTTCAGTGAACCACACATTAAGGAAGGCCAGGTTAATTTTCAGCATTAATTCTTCACAGAGGAACTTGCACCTATCAGTCAGTTCTTTTAGTTTCTCATTCAAAATGAGCCTTCGACAGGAAGAAAGTCTGTGAAAACGTTCTAAATTCCCTTTTGGGATGAGTGAAGGCCCTTTGAGGCATCAGCTAGAGAGAAGGTGTGAATTGGTGGGGGTCTGGCTGGTGACATGTGAGCACAGCTCAAAGTGTTTTACCTTGACCGTGTCCAGGGGATGGCCCGCAACCACACTGGCGATTCCTGGGGATGAAAGCAAAGTATTATGCACAACACTGAAGCTTTTGTGGCAGGAGAGGATGCAATGGGTTTAGAGAAGAGATTTCCACAGGAACAGTGGTAAGGGGCCTAGCCAGAGCAAAGACCAGCAGGATGCCCCTTCCCTAACAGCTAAAAGCTGAGCTTACACACTTTTCTGTGTACACTCTCCTGGACTCCTTCAGCTTTGCATCTCAAAGGCACCAGAGAAGGAGAACTCATGTTTGTGTATCTTGCCCAGGACCAACCCCTTCTGCACTCCTGAAAGCTCACACAAATGTTTAGCCTCAGAATGGTGAAATTCCTGTTCAACACAAGGCAGTGCTTTCTCCTGGCTCAGTGATGTCCTGGTCCCATTGGCTGACTGCTAACGGGTCCTGCAAATTCCTCCTCGTTTGCTGTTTTAGGAGCAGTTTCTAGAGATACCAATCAGAGAGGATTCAGACACAAAGGATCCTGCTCCGCACAGAACTGTCCAGTGCCATCCTGCCTTCCTCCCCATGGTTCTCTGGGGAGAAATTGGCCCATATTCTCTTACCTTTCACCCACCTACTCACACCACTCACTATCAGGAGCTCTCGTGGCAGCACAGAGCACAGTTTGGTTTCCCTCTTCTCCAGAATGGAACACCTCTGTGCCATGGCCAGGATATGGCTTTGTGTCTTTGTTGCAAGCAACACTGGCAGGTTTTAGAGTTTATGGAGAGTGGGTAAATTGTGATGCTTCCTCACCAGCAAATCTCTGTGCAAACCAGTGCCCACAGGTGCTTTGGGCTCTAGATGTAATTTCTCACTCATAGTGGATTGGTACTGAAAAGAGCATCATGTTCTTGGTCAACACATTATGACTTTTCTAAAAACGCGTTAAAAAAATGTCCCCTCTCCTCCCAGACCTGGGACCACCCATGGCCAAGTGCTATGAATGAAAACTCTCATCTGTCACTGCTGCAGAGCACTGGCTCACCTCCAGGACATCCTGTCCCATTGCCAGAGGCGTGCAGCAACAGCACAGGGCAGTGGGGCAGAGAGAGCAACCACAGCCTACAGAGATCCAAAAATCAGCTGCTCACACAAACATTTGGCAGAGGTTTTGGGTTTTTCAGTCTGCTAATTTATTAACCTCATCTGGCAGGACACCTGTGAGCCACCTCTCACCCTGCTCCTGTGCTGGGTCTGAAGGGTCACTTGAGCAGAGGTTTGTTCTGCCGTGGCTGGTGACCCTGTCCTGCTGCAGCCCCAGGGGCAGCAGAGCTGGTCGCCCTCTCAGCTGGCATCTCTCAGTTCTGTGAACCTTGTCCCATTACTGACGCCTCTGCCTGTCGTTTACCTTACTTTTCTTTCTGTTTCCCGGTGCTTGCCATTGGAATTCCCGGCAGACAGGATCAGTCCCTGCCGTGTCCATCAGCCCTGTGGCGGGGTGAGGAGCCGGCAGTGCCTCCCCCGAGGATGGGGACACGGGGAGCCCCGGGCTGAGCGCTGCCAGCCCCTTCCAGCCCCGGGGGCAAGGGCGGCAGAGCCGGCGGGGGCTGGGGGCGTGCGGGGGCCTCTGCAGGCCGGCCCCGCACAGCAGCATCACAAGTTCTAAACTCGAATTTTAACCATCCCGCCCATGCAAGTGCGATTAAACCGCACTTGTGTAGCAAAGCAAAGCAAACCGGGGGAGACGCCGGGCAGAGGCACAGACCGTGGGTGACCCGGAGGGGTTTATCCCCGGAGCGGAGGCTTTTATCACCGGGGGGTTTTATCCCCGGGGGGTTTTATCCCCAGAGGGGTTTATCACCGGAGGGCTTTATAGCCGGAGGATTTTATCACCGGGGGGTTTTATCCCCGGAGCGAAGGGTTTTATCCCCGGGAGGATTTAGTCCCGGAGGGTTTTACCCCCGGAGGGTTTTATCACCGGGGGGGTTTTATCCCTGGAGGGTTTTATCCCCGGAGGGTTTTACCCCCGGAGCGGAGGGTTTTAGTCCCGGAGGGGTTTATCACCGGAGGGTTTTATCCCCGGGAGGTTTTATCACCGGGGGTTTTACTCCCGGAGCGGAGGGTGTTAGTCCCGGAGGGTTTTACCCCCGGAGCGGAGGGTTTTACCCCCAGAGGGTTTTATCCCCGGAGGGTTTTACCCCTGGAGGGTTTTATCCCGGGTACCCTCGCCGTGCGCCCTTCGCCGCCTCCCCAGCCGCGCTCTCGGCATCACTCACCGCCCACCAAGCCCGCCACGAAGTCCTGCAGCTGGAGGCTCCCCATGCCCGTCCGGCGGGGCCGGGTCCCGGCGGGCAGGGGATCCCCGCGGGCAGCGCTCCCGCGGCTCCGTGCGGGCTCCGAGCGGGCTCCGTGCGGGCTCCGTGCGGGCTCCGAGCGCTCCGCGTTCCGCGCCCGCGGCTTCCAAGCGCTGTGACATCACACACCGCGCTTAAAGGGGCCGGGGACACCGCCCGGCCGGGGCGGGGAGGGTCGCGGTCCGGGCGGGCGGGACCGGGGCAGACCGGGCTCAGCATCAGCCCGGGGCGGGAGGAGCAGCATCGCTCCTTGGGCGGGCAGCGGGGACGGGGGAATGGTGGGGATGCGGGAAGGTCATGTACACTTGCGAGTTGAAGATGGAAGTACGGAGATAAAGAGTATTGCACCCGTAATCAGTTGAAAAATATCTCCGTTCCCTTCATTGAAATGACTGGGTCATCGTTTGAGGAGATACCTCCAATTTTTGTATGATTTTCCCAGGAGATAACTCCAATTTCGTTATAATCTTTCCAGGAGATAACTCCAATTTTGGGAAGCAATGAACAATTGCCCCCCTGAATGAGTCCTTCTATGTAATACTCACAATTTTCTTATACATCTGTTACATGCTTCTCCCTTTGTCCTGTCTTTCCCAGACTCAAGATTCCAGATCTGGTATATTCTGCTTTCATACAAGACACTCCTTTTCACCCTCCTCAATCATTTTTGTTTAAAGGTGCAGCCCGAGCCACAAGTGATAAGAAAGAACCACTCAGCAGAATAAAGATATTTTCTGTTTTGACGTCAGCCCCTTTTCTGGGGATTCCTAACATGCCTTTCTGACTGGGGCTGAAGGCTGGGCTCCTTCTCTTGAATCACAAATACCTGATCTTGAGCCCAGCCTGGCTGTTGTGCCTCCTCTGTGGCACTTTCAAATAGTAAATCCAGTGTTTTACACCTGAACAGCACTTGGCCACTCAGCACAGGCCCTCCTCACCATCCTCAACCAGCTCTCCTTGTGCTCACCAGCTCCATCAGAAACCTTCTCTTGGACTTCAGGGGCATGGCTGCTCCCAAAAAGATGACTTGGCCCTTGGCCGCTGTACACATACATCTGGCTGAGGTTTATACCACAGCCCAAAGCAAACTTTATTCTGTCTAGGCTAGATTTCTGTAGGTGGCAGTTCCTTGGGTCAGTTTTGGAGGCTTTCTGACAAGATTAGCATCAGGTTATACATTGCCTTCCTTAAATGCAAGGTTGGATTTTCTTGAAATGTATTTTGTCTACATGTTCTGGTAACTATAGAAAATGTCGGTAGCTCATGAGCAAGAAATCCTGAATGCCAAAATACTGGCTGAAAATATAAATATTTAATTTTTTTCCTTAAAAAATTGGTATTTCCATTGCTAAATTATATATTCCTCCAAAAGGCCTTAAAACAATGTTCCCTTATGTGCATGCACATATACACAGGAAACCTTATCACCAAGTTGGCTGAAGGGGGCTTTTGTCTAGAAATTGCTTATAGAAATTTAATATTGTGTGCATGGTTATCAGCTCAGATAATCTACACCTGAAACTTTAGATTTTTCAATGCATATAACAATGCTCATTCTTCCTGAGGAAGGTTTTCCTGAAGCACCACATCTTTAATGAATTTTGAGGGGGACTGGGGTCCTGGATAGATGTTGGAGAGAACATGTGTGCACAAGCACTGTGGAAACTTGTCAGCAATTTGTTTTCTTAAACTTGCTTTCTTCTTTTTAGAAGAAATATTATTCCACATATACACTAACACAGAAAAAGGATTGTGTCCTCATTTTTCATGCACTTTTTCTTGCAAAACCAGAAGAAAAAGCTGGCTGAATGAGGTAATTATTCAGATAGCACATTAATCATTAATCATATGAATTCTCTTTAACTGGGAGGAACACATTTCCGTGACAAATTCAGAACATCTGCTAACTCAGGGAAAATACTGGACATGGTCTTTGTGCAACACTGGACCTGGAGCTGAAACCACATGTTATGGAGAGTTTACTCTAGAAACCCCTGCCTAGAGGAGGCGGCAGGGAGGCTGGGGCAGGCTGGAGGGAGATGCCCTTGCAGCTCAGGACACACCCAGGGGTGCAGGATGCTCGGGGCTCCTGCTGACAGCAGTGCCACAAACCTGTGGATGATCCCAGGGTGGGCAGGAACCTGTGTGCAAGCCAGGAGAGCCAGTGTTTGCTCAGCCCCTCAGTGCCCTGCTCCTCTGTGGTTGGCAGGGGGTGTTTGTCCCTGGAGCACAGTGGCTGCCACTCAGAGGGTTTATCCTTAGTGCCAGCAATGGACTGGGAGCAGGTGAGTCTGTCCCAGCCAGGCTGAGGCACCTCTCTGGTGATGCTGTGCTGCAGCTCCTTCTGCTGCTTGGAGCAGCCTGGCCTTTGGAAGGTGTCCCTGCCTGGCAGGCACGTTGGAACTGGATGAGTTTTAATGTCCCATCCAACCCAAACTGTTCTAGGATTCTGTGGTTCTGTGATTTTTACCAAACTGAACTGAACTGGGATCACTAAAGCAAAGCTGCTTTTGAGCAGGGGCATCTTTGCTCTCAGGAGTCCTTTCCAGCACACTGCCCCATCCAAAGGCTTGGGGCTCTTATCTCCAGCTGCTGCTGTCAAATGCAGCTCTGTTTGTGCAGAGCTGTGCACACACCTCCATCTCCCAGCTGGCAGGACATCTCCTTTTACTGGTAACAGGCAGCAGTGACATATGGAGAGCTGGGAAGGGATCCATCCTTTCTGCTGCTCTGAGTCCCAGCCTGGGCTTGTAGCCACTCACAAGTGCTGGTCAGAGGCAGATAAGTGTGGTTTCCATTAGGGATGAGGAATTCTCTTCCCCCTGCCAAGAGGAAAGCAGGGAGATTGTGTCATCCTGAACACTCTGGATTCTGCCTCCTTCTCAACCACAACCCCCTTTTTTTTTAGAGAACCACTCTCTTTTGACCAGTTTACATAATTTCCACAGCAGGTTTATAATGCTGCCAATGAAAAGGAAGGAATTTCCCACTGTCTTACCTGGGGCTGTGTATTTTCTCTGGGAAAGCACTGCAGTGAAGGAACTGAAACAGACTCAGGAACTTGTGGTAGATTCACACTTAACTGCTCTTGGAATTAAAGAATCAACTCAGCTGAGACAGAGAATGCTAGAGATAGAAGGGAGTTATTAATTTCATATCCATCTGTAAACTATTTCTGGGCTAGGATGCATTTCACTGTAAATTCACTTTCAAATTCCCTTTAAATATTTCTTTTAAATTCCTTTTAAATATTAACCTGTTAGTAACAAATAATGGCTTAATCTGCTGGACAAGATACAAGTAAAAGGACATTCAACCTCACTGCTGCAGCCAGAGTCACTGGTACCACATTCTAATGCTTGGTGTCTCTTTGAGGGGCTGAGTCACATGAGCAGAGCTCAGTAAATTAAAAAAAGCAATGTACAAACAATCTGAAGCAATGTGTAAGTGGTGATAGGACAACCTCATGGCTAGAGCAAGCAGACAGATCCAGGCTGTGGGAAGACATGTCAGGGGGCACATAGCAGAAATAGTTTTTCCCTCCAGGAGCTACCAAACAAGTCTGTTTCTGTAAGCAGCAAAACATGAGTGCTTGCTCTGCAGAATGTGCATGGCAGATGAATTAGAGGCTACAAACACACCAGAAACAGGCATGGAGGGCCCCACTGTGAACAGCTGGAAAGCTCTTCTCTGCCTTTTCTTGCCTAGGACCTGGGTAGGGTTTACTGGAGGAGAAGCATTCCAGGAAGAGGTAGGCAGTGAAGGGAATCCTCTGGTCTTTTCATCAGCTGTATCTATATCATCATATCATATAATATCAATCATATAATATCATATCATATATCATATAACATATCAAACCATATAATACCATATCATTATCATCATCATATCATGTCATGTCATATCATATCATATCATATCATATCATATCATATATCAATCATATAATATCATATCATATATCATATATAATACCATATCATCATCATATCATCATCATATCATATCATATCATATCATCATATCATCATATTATTATCTCTCTATTTATTTTATTTAGGGAACTCTTCTGATGAATGCCATGAGAAGATCTCTCTCCAGACCTACAGGCAAGCCCAGCTGATGCAGTTCCATGGTGCTGCACAGAGCTGGGACCAACTGCCCCCAGCCTCCAGCACCAGGATCTAACAGATCTAACAGATCTAACAGATCTAACATATCCAACATATCTAACAGATCTAACAGATCCAACATATCTAACATATCCCCCCAGATCCCAGCCTTGCTGAGCTCCAGCCAGCAGTCAGGGCAGATATTTCATGAGCAGCTCTAAACACCATCCAAGACCTTTTCTTCCTCTCTGCAATCAATACCACCAGGGAGAGGAATTGCAAACACAGTTAATCAGAGATTTCAAAGTAGCAAATACCAATCCTGGTGCTTGAAAGCTAAAGGAAAATTTAGATGAGAGAAGCAAACACCACTGCTTTGTGGGCAATGCTTTGATTGAATGGGCACAGTGAGACAGTTTCTCATTTGTGTTAATGGAGAAGCATCCTTTGTTTGTGTTCAGTCTCGCTGATTCCCTGCTCACAAAGTCCTATTTAAGCCCCATTAATTCACTGTGGAGTCTATAGGAAGAATTTGTGTTCATCCTTTCTGGAAGGCCTTGCAGCATCACTGTAGTGAAAGGAAAAATCAAGACAGCATCAAGCTGAGAAGGGCTTGGGTAGGAAAACTCAGCAGAGTGAAGATGGGAAAGTGGGGAGCAGAGCCTTGGGTCTGCTGGAGAAATCCTGTTCACCCTTTGCAAATCTCTCCATGGCAATTCTCTGACATTATAAACAGGACTCCAGGCAGGTCCCTCGGGAGGCTCCTTGAAGTCCAGTAAAGCAGGGAAGAGTGCTGCACCCTCAGCTGGGGCTGGATGTGTCCTTGTGCATTTTGGCTCCAGGAGCTGCTGAA